TCCCTCCCTCTCTCTCTCTTTCTTTCTTTCTTTCTCTTTCTTCTCTCTGTTTCTCTGTCTTCCTTTCTTCCTTTTTTTAGACAGTGCCTCACTTTGTTTCCCAGGCTGGAGTGCAGTGGTGCAATTATGGCTCACTCCAGCCTCAACCTCCTGGGCTCAAAAGATCCTCCCACCTCAGCCTCCTGAGTAGCTGGGACTACAGACACTGTGTTGTGTTAGTTAAAAACAAAACAAAACAAAAAATTATAGAGACAGAGTCTCCCTATGTTGCCCAGACTGGTCTCAAAGTCTTGGGTGCAAGTGATCCTCCCACCTCAGGCTCCCAAAGTACTGGGGTTACAGAAGTGAACCGTCACACCCAGCCTCATTTTTTTTTTCCCGAGTTTCTATAATGCATTTATCACAACAAGCATGTCTTACAGCAAAGTTGAAAAACATTTAACATCCTATAGTCTAGCTAGGCACCCAAACCGTCTCATTTTCATCAGGTATTTTACTTCCTCCTTTGAAAGCTTCTATTTATTCATCCTTGATTGTGTATTTCATAAATTTTAGGCACCATGCCTTGTGGTAGGAAAATTACAAAGAGCAGTATTTGACCACAGCCAGTATCTAGAATTGTAGAATGTAGCAGAGCTGGAAGGAACTTGAAGATATTCTCATCCAAACCCTTCATTCTATAGATGATGGAATTGAGGCCCACAGAGAGAGACTGACTTGCTCAAGGTTACATCACAGTGAATGACATTTCCATTCTAAATTTAGCCAATCATAGATACACATGAAATCTACACAAAATAAAATAGAAAATGTGGTAAAATGTACCATGAATCCATAGAACAACCAGTGTTTGTTGGGAATTCAATTATTCCTTCGGCACTGAGTTCAGGACTAAGTGTCTATCACACTTCTTTACGTTCTGACTAATTTTTCAGTGCTTGTTTTTATAGTAGTCTATATACAAAATCTGGATTGTAGATTTTGTTTGTAGATTTAGTTTTGCATTGTAGAATTAGTTTTGCATGGTAGAAAAAGAGATTGTAGCTACTCTTTTTCTTTTTTCTTTTTTTTTTTTTTTGAGATGGAGTCGCGCTGTGTGGCCCAGGCTGGAGTGCAGTGGCCGGATCTCAGCTCACTGTAAGCTCTGCCTCCCGGGTTCACGCCATTCTCCTGCCTCAGCCTCCCGAGTAGCCGGGACTACAGGCGCCGCCACCACGCCCGGCTAGTTTTTTTGTATTTTTAGTAGAGAAGGGGTTTCACCGTGTTAGCCAGGATGGTCTCGATCTCCTGACCTCGTGATCCGCCCGTCTCGGCCTCCCAAAGTGCTGGGATTACAGGCTTGAGCCACCGCGCCCGGCAGCTACTCTTTTTCGTGACTGTTCTTTTTCTTTTTCTTTTCCATTACTGAGTGCAATATCAGTCAAGTAGCCTCTCCCTATAAAGTGACCTTCTTAATCAAGAGATAAACTTATTTAAACAGGATCTGCTAATGATTAGAAAAATTTGAATTTGCACCATAAGATTTTCATGAAACTTTCCATCAGTTCCTAAAGAGATCTACAAAAAATTGAACAAAAAATTTAAACTTTTCCATATGGAACCAGAAAAATAATTCCATATTCAGCATATTCTGGCTAGGTGTGGTGGCTCACGCCTGTAATCCTAGCACTTTGGGAGGCAGAGGTCAGGAGTTCAAGACCATACTGGCCACATGGTGAAACCCTGTCTCTATTAAAAATACAAAAATTAGCTGGGCGTGGTGGTGTGCACCTGTAATCCCAGCTACTCAGGAGGCTGAGGCAGGAGAATCACTTGAACCGGGGAGACGGAGGTTGCAGTGAGCCAAGATCGCACCACTGCACTCCAGTCTGGAAGACAAAGCGAGACTCCGTCTCAAAAAAATATAGATATACAATAGCACATTCTGAATAGAAGTTGGTTACTTTGGAAAGTGTGGGAAACGCAGAATTGTTTGAATTGTGAAAAGTCAGATATTGTAAACAGTTAAGCCCATTGAAGTGACTGTGTTTCCTATTTGATTTCACTTCTGTTTTCACACTCTCTTGTCACTGAAGTGCAGACTTCACAATTGAACAGAAGCTATTGAATGGGGTGGGTGAAGACCAAACGTTCTTATAAAATTATTTTATTTATTTATCTGTATTTAAACATACTTATTGCTTATCTAGCCTATCACTTTATAATACTTTTTAAATATTTAGTATATGATTTTGCTAGAGAGTCCTGTTTAGTATTCCTTGTCAGCTTTAGTGGAAGAGAGTGCCAATATTTCAGCCTTTCTGAAAGGGTTTAAAGTGTATTTATGCTGGAATACTCTTATTTTTACCCAGTGTGTACCACTTTTATAATGAAATGGACTCTTGAAAGGCTTTTAAAAGGCAATATAAATTAATTTTTTTGGGCTAGGCATGGTGACTCATGCCTGTAATCTCAGCATTTTGGGAGGCCGAGCCAGGTGGATCACGAGGTCAGAAGTTCGAGACCAGCATGGCCAACCTGGAGAAACCCTGTCTCTACTAAAAATACAAAAAATTACCCAGGCGTGGTTGTGCATGCCTGTAGTCCCAGCTACTCGGGAGGCTGAAGCAGGAGAATCACTTGAACCCCGGAGGCAGAGGTTGCAGTAAGCTGAGATGATGCCACTGCATTTCAGCCTGGGCAACAGAGCAAGCCCCTGTCTCAAAAAGTAAATAAATAAATTAATTAAGTAAATAAATTTATGTTTTCTTGCATTCGAGATAGTGCACAAACAAGAAGTCTTCAGGAAAAAGGAAGGATCTGAACTAAAACTTTCTTCTGTTTTTAATGGTATATACGCTAAGATGTATTTACTTAGTCTACTAGATGTATACCATCAATGTGTGGGTGAGGAAGGAGAAATAGTCTAAATTAAGGACATGAGGGTTTCACCTCTTTATCTCAAGGATTCAATATGCATATTTAAATAAACATGATAATAATAGTGAAATATCCTTTCCTCACGGCAGAGACAAAGTTTTTTTAATACAAAGAATAATTTCATTATTATTGGACTAGAGGCAATGTGGCCTAGTGGCGAAAAGTGATGATGTCTGGGGTCTGAATCTCTCTTCGCCAGAAGACAGCTATACTATGTGAATTGGGATGTTATTTGAGCCTTCCAAGCCTGTTTTCTATCTATAAAGAGGATATAATAGTTGTACCTATGTCTCTGAGTTGTTAGAATATTAAGATATAAGATATAGGCGCGCCCGAGATGAATCTGGCCGTGGACGAGATGTTCCCCGAGGGCGCCGGGCCTTATGTGGACCTGGAGGAGGCAGAAGGCAGCACAAGGCTCTTAATGGACTTGGCAGCCAATGAAAAGGCCTTTCATGCAGACTTTTTAAATGATTTTGAAGATCTTTTTGATGATGATGACATCCAGTGAGATGACCTCTGGCTGTAGGTGGGGTCAGGCCCTTGGTACAGAGTTGCGGTGTGAGCCTGCGCAGGACAGTTTCAGGTGGTTTTAAAGAACACGTGGAAATCCCTTGAATTTAGGACCTGGTTAAGCAAGAAAGATAAGAATGTTCTTCACCACCTAGATGAGGCTGTTCATCTCCGAACATGACCAGGTTTTGTCCTCACTCCAACTAAAAGAAAGCAATGTCACGTGCAAAAAAACCCAAAAAGATATAAGAGATATAAGTTGCCTAGCAGGGAGCATGGCACACTGGAGAAGATCAGTAAGGGTTGGCTATTGCTATTATTATTGTTCTTATTCTTACTTGAAAACATGCATAGAGGAAGTTCTCATTGAAACCAGTGACTTCAAAAGAGCACGCAGAGCTTGGCAAGCAGTAAGGGTTTTGAGCATCTGTTGGGTGCCAGACAGTACTTTCATAGGGCAGTTGACCTAGTTTCCAGAGGAGTCTGAGGGTATTAACCTGGAGCAGTCATCTGCAAGTAAGAATTTGCTTTAAGTCTTATGTTTTATCTTTTGAAAAATTCTTGGAAATTTTGCAGTAGACTCCATAATGTATGCTTATAAGCATTGACATAGAATAATGTTCCCCCTTCACAGTGCATCCCAAGTCCTTAAGTATAACTTCTGCTCCTGGGGAACCGAAACCTACTTATTCTGTGGCTTTTGGCATTCTTTCATTTATGCCAGATGGAGGAACACAGGTTGAAGATGAGAAAGAAGTCACATGTACAGGGCTGCAGGCAGGAGTTTAAGTTGGGTCTGGGGGTGACTCCATAAAAAAGATATTGAATGAAATATTCCAATATTACCTACAACAGTAAGCACTATATTGCTAATTACTTTTAAGTGCCAGGCGCTCACTTGGGTTAGGCACTCTATAAGCATTTTTTCATTACATTTTTACAACATCTTTGAGAACAAGCTGTTATTATCTGCATTTGTGGAGAATTTGCTTTGGAAAGATGGAAGTCCAGAGGCAGTGAGACCATTCAATATCCTGTTAATTGGTCCAGTTTTGATATGATGACCATTTGGTCCAAGAGGGTAGCAATACAAAAGTGAAAAAGCACACAGTTTACTTTGTCATTCAATAAACACTGGATGTGTGCTACATACCACATGCTGGTGAACAAGGTATTCTCCTTGCTTAAGAGTTAGACTGCAAGACTGGCTGGCAATTTCAGGGCTATGTGATGAGTGTTGTGGTGGCAGTAAGCACAGAGTGTCTGGGAGCCCTGAGGAGGAAAAATCAGTTCAGCTTTGGGTATCCAGAGTGCTTTCCATAGACATGGAGAGATACTTTGAAGAATTAAATTAAATTATTATTATTATTTTTTTTTCGTAGAGCCAGAGTCTTACTATGTTGCCCAGACTGGTCTCAAACTCCAGTGTTCAAGCAGTCCTCCAACCTCGGCCTCTGAAAATACTGGGATTACAGGCATGTGTTTACCATGCCTGGCCAATAACGGAATTTTTATCCCTGAATGCATATGTAACATGGAAGCATACTGTTGTGGCTAAAAGTCAAGACTCTGGAGTCAGACTACACAGAATCAATTCCTGGCCCTGCTACTTACTAGCAATGTGATCTTGGTTAAGTTACTTAACTTTTGCCCCTGAGTTTCCTCATCTGAAAATGGAGATTAAAAAAGTACCTGCCTTATAGGGTTGTTCTGGAGACTAAAATGAGTTAATATATGAATTTTGAAACAATGCCAAGCCCATAATAAATTATATGCAATTATTTGCTTCTTGCTATGGGAAATTGAAAGAGAGGGCAGTTGTGAGTGCAAATATGCTAGACATTGTAGGAACCGATGCCACAATCACAGTGATAAATTAATGGACATTTTTGAGGTTTTTCTCACTGTTATGGAACTCCCACTCTCGCCGCCAATGTCTAGGTTGGGTCAGCAACTTGAAGCTTGTCCAGCCTGACCAACGTGGTGAAACCCCATCTCTACTAAAAATACAAAAATTAGCTGGGTGTGGTGTCAGGTGCCTGTAATCCCAGCTGCTCAGGAGGCTGAGGCAGTGGAATCACTTGAACCCGGGAGGCAGAGCTTGCAGTGAGCCGAGATCGTACCACTGCACTCCAGTCTGGGTGACAGAGCGAGACTCTGTCTCAAAAACAAAACAAAACAAAACAAAACAAAACAAAACAATACAAAAAACTTGTTAAGGGCTGGATGAGTAAAGGAAATGAGTGAGACAGTTAGGCGCTGTAAGAAACTGAGGTAAATGGGGACCTTTGACAAGGGCGGCTGCAAATCAGCTCCAACCAAGTATTGCCTAATGGAATATTGGTCCAGAGATGCCAGATTCTCTATTTCAAGAGAAGTTGCAAAACCATATATTTACGTAAAATGTCCCAACTTTTAAAACTTTCAAAGCTATAAAAAAGTCATCTGGGGACTAGATGGAGCCTTTTGAATCCTCTTCTAGGCTCTCCATTGCCTCCGGGGATATCTAACAGCTTTTTCTTTTAAGTTCCCCACCAAAAAGACAGCAGAAAGAAAGAAATTGTTAGGCTCTTGGGAGCCAATTTCAAACAGGCTGTGGTTTTCTCAAGTCTAGGTCCCAGGTGGTGCAAAATGGGCAGCTTTGCTGTGTAGTGAAGCCTGGATGAGGGTTTCCTCTAGGCCTGGAAGTCTGTGTGTGTGTGTGTGTGTGTGTGTGTGTGTGTGTGTGTGTGTCTGGTAATTGAACAGCATTTATCACACTTCAAGTGTCGGAACCATTCAGATGAGTTACACTTGTTAAATGACTATTTTTAGTTTCATTCAGATTCTTATTGTTTTATACTCAGATATATTCTATAACGTAAAAGAACGAAATTTAGCTAAAAAGCAATGACAGTTATCACTAACTACTGCCAAATGTAACGTTAATTTTTTTTTTTTTTTTTTTTTTTTGAGACAGGGTCTTGCTCTGTTGCCCAGGCTGGAGCACAGTGGCATGATTTCAGCTCAATGCAACCTCTGCTTCCCGGGTTCAAGTGACTCTTCTACCTCAGCCTCCCGAGGAGCTGGGACTAATGGTGCATGCCACCATACCCAGCTAAAAATGTGACATTTGAGATTGTAATTTTAACCAACATTCATGGACATGGTGGTTTATCCCTGTAATTCCAGCACTTTGGGAGACCAAGGCAGGGCCATTACTTAAGGCCAGGAGTTGGAGACCAGCCTGGGCAACATGACAACATCCTATCTCTACAAAACAAAGAAACAAAATTAGTCGGGTAGTGTGTGCCTATAGTCCTAGCTACTTGGAAGGCTGAGGAAGCAGGATTGCTTGAGCCCAGAAGTTCAAGGCTGCAGTAAGCTATGATCATGCCACTGCACTCAGCCTGGGCGACAAAGTGAGAGCCTGTCTCAAAACATAAAATGAACAAAGTTCATTCAACAACTATTTTATGAGCATCAACCACACGCTGCTCTGTTTATGCTCTTTTATCAGCCCACCTTGCGACGATCAGTGTGAATATGCTGGGGTACATTTTCAGTGAAGGCAAAGGGGCTCAGATGGGTTTTGGAGGTACACTCGTCCTAATGAACTCCATGACTTTATCAAATGATTGAATCACCAAAGCCTCACTTGGAAAATGAAACACCATAGTTCACCATAATGCTATTACTATAAGACAGGGTAGGCCAGGCGTGGTGGCTCATGCCTGTAATCCCAGCGCTTCGGGAGGCCGAGGCGGGTGGATCACCTGAGGTCAGGAGTTCGAGACCAGCCTGGCCAACGTGGTAAAACCCTGTCTCTACTAAAAATACAAAAAATTAGCCGGGCGTGGTGGCGCAAGCCTGTAGTCCTAGTTACTCTGGACGCTGAGGTACAAGAATTGCTTAAGTACTGGAGGCAGAGGTTGCAGTGAGCCAAGATCATACCGTTGCACTCCAGCTCAGGCTAAAAGAACAAAACTCCATCTCAAGAAAAAAGACAAGGTCTCATTCTTTTGCCCAGGCTGAAGGGTAGGCACAGTCATAGCTCACTGCAGCCTCAAACTTCTGGGTTCCTGCTACCCTCTCTCCTCAGCCTCTGTAGTAGCTGGGACCATAGGTGTGTGCCACCACACAAAACTGGTTTTTTTTGTTTGTTTCTTTTATTTTTAACTTTTAAAAAATGCTTGAATTGTTAGAGAATTTTGTTTTTTAATTTTTAATAGAGATGAGATCTTGCTATGTTGCCCAGGCTGGTCTTGAATTACTGGCTTCAAGTGATCCTCCTGCTTCAGCCTCTCGAAGTGCTGGGATTATAGGCATGAGCCACCATGCAGGGCCTCTATTTTTCAAATATAGAATAAAATGAACCACCTAGAGGTTATTATATTTTCTCTGAGCTAAAAGGAAATTAACAACCAAAGTAGGTTGAGAATTTAATACTACTTCCTTCAATTTCTTCTTATTCCATTGAGCCCTTAAACTCCATCAACTGGAATTTACTAAAAAAAATCAGATTAAATAACAACATTTACTAATGAATACCCTAGCCTTTATCCTACCCAAATTTACATCTTAATAACTTTGTTGAAGACATACCATGTTTTACTTTTTTCAACCGTAACAAATTTAGCCTGTTGTCTATTGACTGGCTTGTGTACCAGCTCAGGAATTTAATTTATATTCTAATAAACAAAGTGTAACAGCAGATGTTAGACTGTGCGCTACTCATGGACCAAAACCCTCTACACCCAGTTAGCCACATCCAATTTGAGGATGCATGATTTATCTCTTTTGAAAATAAGTTGTACCATTCAGGGCAAACACACAAAGGAACAAAGGAACAAAGGAAAAGAAATAACCTGACTGCCACTGTATCAAAGTATATCATAGCACAGGCATTCTTCTTATTTTTCAATTAGTTCTTACCTATATGCAGTCTCTTCAAACCTTTTACATCTTGAGACTCAAACTGCATAATCTTCCGCTTCATGATTTAATTGAGTGGAAATCTTTTTCTTCAGTAGTGGAGAGTTTTAGAACACTACAACAAAATGCAAACGCCTTTAATATCATGCAATATGCTGTTTCCCCTGGGTGAGTATTAAGGCCTTTAATAGGAAAATTACACTAGAAAAGTTAATCTTTCAATGTTTATTTTGCTCAACATTATTCATAGTGAGTACATTCAGTTATGCTACACATGAACGTTCTCAACATGAATGTAGATA